CCACTGTCATGAAGCCCGCGACCGTTCCCAAATTGCACCCTTATTTGGTCTGGCCTGCATACCTCTCAGCACCATCTCAGACTTTATTGAAGTTTTCAAAGATCAAACACTCTCCAAGTTGTCTTTTTATCAAATCCATAATTGAGTTTAACATTATAACTTTTTCTTTTCTGTGTTGTAAAGATCATAAACATCTATATATAAATGTAATACATGCATGTATTGCGAGTAACAAATAACCCTCCAACTGAGAACATAAAGATCCATGCAAATGACCACATGGGAACCCTTTTCGGAATTATTTATTGATGACCTTCCATTAAAGAAATAACCAACACACACCCGACCCTTAATTAGTTGGTCATGCTAATCAAGGTAACATCCGATCTAAAGAAGAAATTTGTGTATGTTGGACCTAGAAAACAATGGTGGTAGAGATAGCAGAGCAGGGCCAGCCCCGAGATTTCAAAGGCCCTGTGCAATTTTACCAAAAATAGGCACTAAAAATTTATAAGACCTAAAAATTTAAGTAAAACAATTATAATTTTTCATATTTTATTGCAAAATAGTAAACAAAAATTAAATTTTGATTCAAAATAATACACAATAATTATACTGAAAAAGTCTGATTTGCTTCCATTTGTCCTGGATTATAAAACTCAAGTAGCAAAGTTTAACACCTTTGTCCTCTAAATAACCGTAATAAAATCAAAAATGATATCAGTAAGTTATATTACATTATCATAAAAAAACTGTAATTTGCTTCCAATAAAATATCAAAAAACAAAAAGTTATCTTTTAATTTTGACACTTCAACAAGACTACATCAGAAACTTCTAAACCTCAAGATCAAAGATGGATTGAAAGTTGTCATAATGGTACTTGAATGCTTCTAAATTCGAGAAAATAGGAATAAGAAAGAAAAAAACTGAAGTACTTCTATACAATGTAGAAATGTATCAGATACATAAAAAACAATGTATAATACCTTCTAATTTTTGACACTTCAACTCTTCAAGACAATCTAAAATCAGAACTTTTAAACCTTAAAGCTTGTTTGAAAGTCCACATATTGTTGCTTCAATGCTTCTAAATTCGAGATTATATGAATCAGAAAGAATGAAAAACAAACTGGTTTTACTTCTAAACAACACCAGAAAATGTATCAGATAAAAAAAAGTATGATACCTTCTGATTTTTGAACCTAGACCCGGTCATGAATTCTGATGTTCGAAACCTCGCTCCATATTTCAATTTGCTTCAGATATTTGAAGCCTTAATCACGATTCTGATTCCTGATTTTTTGAGGTTTATGAATAAAGAGGTAAGAAGAAAGAAGTACGAATTGAAGCTTTAGCTTTTGATTGAGTGATTTCCAGGGCCGGCGACGAGTGACTTCGAAGCCTCAATCCCGATTGTTAATTGGTTTCCAATGCCTAAATCTCAATCAGTTAATCCCTATCAGCGAGAACCTAAGCGTCGTTCCCTTTTCCCAAAATATTTATGATTCTCGATGCCACTTGCATCGTTTCCTTTCTCGCATGATACACCAGACATCATTAAATTATTTGGGCGGAAAAAATGAACATAAGGCTATCCGGAGTGGAGCCTCAAATCACACGTGAAAGTCTATGTGGCAGCCCAAAGGACGTGTGAACACCACCACCCCAATCTTCGGTGGCTTGGTTGTGGCGTCTCCACACTACAAATAAAATTATATTTAGTGGCACAAAGTTTTAATGGCATTTTGCTTTTGTGCCACCATAGCCTATATTTAGTGGCACATTTGTTTTGTGCCACTATAAGTTTTAACATATAGTGGCACTTTATATCTTATGACACTAATGGTCTACTTTTAGTGGCATTAATAATTTTGTGACACCAATTTTACAATTATTAATGGCATAAAGATAATATAGTGAAATTTTTATAGAAAATATGTTAAATTCTAATAAAATATAAAAAAGGAATTGAATCGTTGCAGCAAGTTGAATCAAAAACTCCCCTCCTTTGTGGCACAACAAATAGATAATGATAGACCGGTGAACAAAGATCAATCTGTAGGATATTGTTCGTAAGTTAGATAAACAAGAGGAACAACTATTCAAAGTTCATCTTCATGTCAAATTTTGTGTTTCTTCCCCAACTTGTTTTTAGTTTGATAGTTTAATGTTTGGGTAATTATTGAGTCTTTTGGAAGATATTTTTGTTTTAAATATTGAGAATATTGTTGTAAGACAAGTTAAGTTTTAATTTAAGTAATGATTTTGTGTTTTGCATTTATTATTTTAATTGTTTTATTATAATTTTATATTTCATTTAAATTTATAAAAAAAATAGAACTGATTTTGGAATATAAATGTTTTATGGGAAAAAAAACCACTAAAAATAGTGCCACAAAACTAAAAATACTATAGTGGCATAAAAAAAAGTGTCACTAAAACCCATAAGGGCTGCAGCGACACAATCGAAAAGTGCCACTAAAGGCCTTTAGTGGCAGCGCTTTTAGTGGCACTTTTTTTTTGTGTCGCTGATTGCCGAGAGGGTCTTTAGTGGCACTTTTTTGGTTTTTTAGTGGCACTTTTTATGTGCCACTAAACGTCATTTTATTTGTAGTGCAATGAAGACGGATGAAGACACCCAATAAAAAGCAAGCAGCAACATCGGTCACTCTCTTTCCCTCTCTTCTTTTTGCCTCTTCACCACCGGCCCACCGGTGAACACCATTTCCACAACCTAGTGGATTGGTTGTGGAATGGTAAAAAATCTATGTGGCATCATTTTCACTCATAAACAACTCGTGATGATACCCCAAAACCTAACCTACTATAAAATCGGGAATAAATATTCGGCCCTAAATTTTGATAGACCCTGTTCACAAGCACATTCTGAACATGCTTTGGGCCAGCCCTGTAGCACAGGTGGCAACAGGCAGCTGCTGGATCGGAATTCGTTATCTTGATGAAAGAGTTCGTGCACCAAGGTCGCAAAGGAATACCTGCAATATATAACCATACATGCAAAGTCTCTCGTTCAACATAAAATCATCATATTCATATACAGGTCTACGTAACGTAAGTAAATCATTCAATTAATCCTCGACATGTACTATTATATATGAGCTTAATTGGAATATGTTACAAGCCAATTGGAAATTAATTAAGCTAATTGGAAATTAATTAAGCTATCTAAACATAATTCTAAAAAAACGCTATCCTCGTATGTGTGTTGTTTGTGTGCGTTTGCCAGTGTACATGCATGTGCCATGTGTACATCACTACATGTGTGTTATACTGTTATTGTCTTGCATTGCATGTGTGTTACGTGTGTGGGTAACGAAAGATGTACGTACAACAAAAGGTGTTTTGTTTTCATTTAAATATTTTACGATCGGCATCATAAAATATCAATAAATGATATCTTATTATGTAAATTATACAATATTTAAAGACGATCAATAAAACATCATCTTTCCGTAAGTATATATACTTCTAGATTTGAGCTTCCTGTTCGACCACTAATGTCTTGATATATCTTTTGCTTTAAGATTTTAGCTTTTGAAAATTAAGAAAATGGGATTCATACACGTCACATGTCTAAGTGCATGTGCACCAAGAAGGCGATATTGGGTGTGGGGTTTTATGCTTTAAAGTTTAGAGAGTACAATAATTTTACTTATAGAAATGGTTTATAATTATTAAAACCAATGACATTCATGCACTACAGTAAATCTTAAGTGTTGCTTTTAAGTTAGTGTGGTATAATATTGTATTTTTGTTGTTAATTTGTTTGGTAAAGCCGTATTTTCATTTGATAAAGCCGTTGTGAGTTTTTATAAACAAATGGTACGTAATGTTGTTTGTTTGGAGTATATTTAATACAAAGAGTTTGATGTTATTGACTTCTAAAACATTTCATTCAAATCCATTTAACATATATTAACTAACCGTTTACTATTTATTTAAGAATATTATTTGTTCATACAAACTCTTTTTTACTCAAATATTTTTTATTAATTTCTCGGTAAAGAACAATGATTCATACTTTATAAACAAATCATAATCATTTTAGGAAAATATCATATTTTCAAGTAACACCAAATAAAAATAAAAATAAAAAGTAAGTTTAATAATTAAAGAGGACAAATCACGAATATATGGAACATATAATTATATTACACATCTAAATCTAAATTACATAAAGTATGTACTTAATCAAATTTAATATATACCATAATTAGATCTTTTATTTTTGATAAATTTAACTTATACATAAATATACAAAAAATAAAAAATAATATTTATAAAAAAAATAACTGAAAATATATAAAAAAAACAAAAACTGAAAATATGATTTTTTTTTTTTTTAGGTGTGTTATTTTTATAAAAAAACATTAAATAATATAAAGTACGTAAAGGGAAAAAGAGAAGCTAAAAAACGGACCAGTGAAAAGAGCTAGTCATCAGGCACTGCAACCCCACCTTTATTAATTGCAAAGCTTACAATAACAATCCCTAAGGGTCTTTGTAATGACCAATCATACCACCAATTATATGAAATACGTAAAATTTATACATAAAACAAATTTAATATCCTTGTCCTTACGCTTGTATATAAATCATTAATTTCATGTGATTTATCTAATAGTCAAAAGTTATTAAAGATTCTAAATAATATCATATTCAAGTATTTGAAAAAATGATTTTGGATATGACATTCTACGCATAAATCATTTGTTATTGGTTTGTTTATAAGATGTATCACTCTATCGGGTTTGGAAGTTATGAAAGTTTAAAATTGGTTAATGTCCATATTGTTTCTAGTTCTCACAGTTTCACATAGTCTTTTTCGTGCTTAAAGATTATATTGGAGACTTTTTCCAAAAGTACAAGGTAGTGAAGTATAATTAAGAAAAGAGAAAGGACTCATTGTGGAATATCAAAAAAACTGGTGGAATTCAGTGTAAGACTACACTGTTTTGTAATTGTCTGTTGCTCAAACATTTTTCCAACACATTAAACCAATAAAGCTTGGCCATAATTTCTACCAAAAAATCGTTAATGGAATCATGACTTAGAATCCAAATTGACTGTGAAAGTTCCATCTTCAATACCCCCACACACAATTTCATCAACAATCATCATGACTTTGTGCGCCGTAGACTCCGCCAGAACACTTGCATGTCGCGACGGCCATGCGGCGGCGACGCTCAAGCTGATCTCAATGTTCGTTATATTTTTCACAAGCGTCGTCGGAATATCGGCGCCGGTGATGCTTGCTCGTGTGTTTCACGGCAAGCCTCTATACGATAAAGCAATTTTGATCATTAAATGTTTCGCGGCGGGAGTCATTTTATCTACCTCACTTGTTCACGTGCTTCCGGATGCGTACGACGCACTTGCGGATTGTCAGGTATCATCGCATCATCCATGGAAGGATTTCCCGTTCTCCGGTCTGATTACATTGATCGGAGTATTGACGGCGCTGTTAGTGGATTTAACGGCGACTTCGCACGTTGATGGATACAGTCACGGACACGTACATGGAAGCAAGGAGGTTACCGCTTACACACGGATAGGAGACAGCGAGGACGTGAGAAAATCGGTGGTGGAGATAGAGGTTGTGGAAGCGGGGGAGGAGAGACGGCGGTTGAAGGATGAGGAGGAGATGGTGAAGATGAAACAGAGAATGGTATCGCAAGTACTGGAAATAGGGATTATCTTCCATTCGGTGATTATCGGAGTAACGATGGGGATGTCACAGAACCAGTGCACGATTAAGCCGTTGGTGGCGGCGTTGGCGTTCCATCAGATCTTCGAAGGGATGGGCCTCGGCGGTTGCATCGCTCAGGTAAACCACCATCCACCGCCACCGATTATTTAGTTGATTGAATTGTTTTAATCTTAGCCGTCCATCTGGATTGATTTCTGAGGTCCAAAACTGTTTCAGTCCTTGTTTGATATACAGATACAGTTAATTGTAGCAACACACGGTCGTCATGTAACATTTTTTTTTTATTTGATTGGTATAGGCGGGATTCAAAATTGGGACAACTGCATACATGTGTTTGATGTTTTCAGTGACAACACCAATGGGGATCATGTTGGGTATGATTCTGTTCTCAATTACAGGGTATGATGATAGCAACCCAAATGCATTAATTCTTGAAGGACTTTTGGGTTCATTGTCTTCAGGGATTTTGATATACATGGGTCTAGTGGACCTCATTGCTCTTGATTTCTTTCATAATAAGCTAATGAGCTCTGAAACATGGTTAAAAAAGGCGTCTTTTTTAGCCCTGGTTCTTGGCTCCACTTTCATGTCTATTCTTGCCCTTTGGGCTTAACAGCTTAACTTTGATGCCTAAATCGATTCTAGTTATATACAAAAACTATATGTATCAGAGACATTTTGTGTCTTGTTAGGAGAAACTAGATATATATGAATGATAACATGTAAGGGGTATGGTATGGTAAAAAAGAGTATCTTTCATTGATGATGATATTATTGAATGTTGTGTGTAATGATGTTTGGGGAGTTATAAAAGTTGAATGAATTGTGTAGTTTAAGTGTTAGCAAGTTACAAGAAAACATTAATGTTGTAAAATGGATCAATCCATGAGCTTGTATCGTTTCTCTTGAACACCAGTGACTCCCATTTGTATCTCGATTATTGTATGCAATGGCATCTGAAAGAAAAAACATATAAATCCAAGTTAGGGTTTGTAATTTGTACGTGTGTGTGTGTGTGTGTGGTTACCTCAATGTGTGGAATTTCTTTCAATGGTCTATCAGCAAAATATGCATATAAAGCTCTCAAAACAGCCTGTAAAAAATAGAATGGAATCCAATTTCATTTATTTGCTTGGTTTATATATAAATAAAAAATTTAGATTCATTTTTGTATGTAAACATTAAACACCAACATATGAATGGGGGTATATGGAATGTAATTCCTTCTACCCAAACTTAGGAATGAGGACATCTGAATGATTCCAACGGAAATGAATTCCATCTATTTGGCAAGCAAAATGCTATGGAATGGAATCTCAGATTCCAATTCCGTCGGAATCCATGAACCAAAGAAAAAAAAGGTGTAGGAAGCTTGACCTGGTGAGATACGACCACAACGGGAGCCCGTTGGCGTTCAAGCTCGATGATCACGGGCTCCAACCTGGAATAATCCATTTATAATTATAAAAAATAATAAAATAATTGAAAAAAAAAACTCGAATATTAATAAAGGTAGGGAATTGCACACCTTTGTATTACATCCAAATAAGACTCGCCACGAGGGTATCGATACCTCAATTTATCCTTCTTGCGTGATCTTCAATACACAAATTAAAAAAAAAATGAAAAACAATCAAGATTCAAGAATATAAAGAAATATTTAGATGAATAAAATAAAACATACTCGTATTCATCGGGCATGTTCTTTTTTATTTCTTCATATGTCATTCCATCGCATACACCCGCATTTATCTCATCAAGTGCACGCCATTGTATCTACAAAACAACAAAAATAAACATATTATTATTTCATAAACTATAAAAAGCAACAAAAAAAAACACTTAATTTCACATTCACACTAACCTTTGGGAACCCCCCAATTTGATTTGCTGTCAAAATTGTTCTTTGCAATGTGCTTGTCCATATCTAAACACCAAAACCACATACTATTTACTTTGAAAAATCTAAATATTATATATATCATTTGTAATTTATTTTTCATATGCTATAATAAAAGTATGTTGCTATTTATTTCTTACAGAAGCAGCGCGTTCGTTTTTGAGTCGCTTTTCCACAAAGTTGGAAAGTTTCTTAGCATAAACCTCACCTTTCTCACTATTAAACAAGTCAAATATATTTATTACATAAAATGTCAAATATAATATTTTACGAAAAATCCTTGTGTTTTATAATTATAAAAAAACAAACCTCAAAACCGTGTCACCACCTATTCTTCCTCTGACATTATCACGACTTTCACCATGCCTCGTAAGCAAAATCGGACGTGGTGTCAAATGCGTATTCACCTGAAAATCATTTTAAAGTAATTTAGACAGAATTTACCCAAGTTAAAATTAGAAAGGAAAAAAAAAACATTTATTTGCTACAAAAAGGAAAATGATGAGGATAACTTCTATGACATACCAAGAAAAACACAATCCTCCCAGGAAGATAACCACCGAGATTATTCACCTGAAAAAAAAAATTGGGAATTTGTCAAGGAGTTAAAAAGAAAATATGGTAATTTATCTTGAAAAGATTTATAGAAACAAAAATAATAAAAAATATGCCACTATGAATTGTAAAACAAAATAGGAAAACAACTTACTTGTATCTGTCCACCTTGACCACTTGCCATATCAATCATTTTAATATATGATCCTTCATTCACTGGCTCATACATCTACAAAACAAAATACTAAAAGATTTAGATGCTGTTTCTTTTTTACTTAATGGGTTAACTACTTAATCTGGAAAGCTATATACTTTCTTTTTTTGTGATTAAAAAGACTACCTTTTCATAATTATCAAGTCGCCTTTTGAAGTCCTGATATCCAGCTTCAAAATCAGGCCTGTAAATACACAATCATTTTAGCCCTAATTAAACACATATGTTCTTAATCAAAACAGCATGATAAGTAAGTCTATTGAGGTTTTTTTTTTTTACTCTTCTGCATAATCTGGACTCTGTTGAATCTTGAGGCGAATGTTTCTTTCAATAATCTGTGGATCAGTACATATTGTTTCCAGAAAGATGATCTGAATCCAAAATCATTCGGTATTATAATGTTGTTCATTACTTCAAAATTTAAAATAATAACACCCAAGATAAAAACAAATACCAAACATACCTTGCATTTTCCTTCAGCCATCTTCATAAGCATATTCCTTCTTTCACTAGTGCTGTTTGTAGCATCAAATATTCCTACCTACATGCAACCATAAGTTTAAAACATAAACATACATACATACATGCATGCATGCATACATACATACATAGAGATAATAGGACTTACTTGGCCACCTTCTTGCATCCAAGCTATCATGTCATCCATTGCTAAAGCAGCTACCTAGTTGTAGCACGTGATGTATTAAAACTATTTGTCAAAAAAAACATGTCATTTTAGCATAAAATTAATATTAACTAAAAGTAAATGAATTTAGCACCTCATTTCGAGCCTCCATGCCTTCTGGATTGTCACCTCGAAAAAAATCAGCGCTCTGCATCAAACATTATTCATAATATGACTAATAATCATTTCACATTTAAAAGTAAACCATGATTGGGATTCACGAGTGAAAATTAATTAAAAAAATGACATGTTTAAAATCATTGAATACCTGGTTAGCTCCAAGCTTAAGGCGTCGGTACTGTTACACCAAGAAAAAAAATATTAAAATTATTTCCTATGCTTTTTCCGTATTTTCCAATTGATAATTAAAGAATATAATGTTAGGGGAAAAAAATTAAAAATTACCTTTCCAACATTGAAATGTTTAGTGTCATGACCTAACCAACGGAGATACCTTGTAAGTTTAGCAGCTGTAAAAGTTTTGCCACGAGCTGGCAACCCCACCTACCACATCCACCAAACTTTTTCAAATATTTACTCCAAGATTCAAGAAAGCTACTGATAAAGATGGGAAGGGCATTCACGTCTTTTTAATAGATGAGAGATCGAGAGTGCGTCCCTGTCCCTGTCCCATCTTCTTTTACCCTTTGGGCAAAAGTTGTATTTTTGTCCACAGTCACAGTCACAGTCACAGTCACAGTCACAGTCACAGTCACAATAAAAGTAACAGTAAGTCACAGTCACCGTAAAAGTAAAAGTAACAGTCAGTCACAGTCACAGTAAAAGTAACATTCAGTCACATTCGGTCACAGTAACAGTCAATCACAGTCACAGTCACAATCAAAGTAACAGTCAGTCACAGTAAAAGTAAAAGTAACAGTAAGTCACAGTCACGGTCAAAGTAACAGTCAGTTACAGTCATAGTCATTATGAGGGGCCTACCAAGACAATGGCGAGATGCATATCTTCTTTGGGTCCAAGCATTTGATCAGCAACAGCTGCAGCTGCAACAGCTCCAGCAGCAGCCGGCATTGAGTTCTAAAAGTTTCATATTCCACAAAGTTAAAAGACGAAAAACACCCTAAAACCCAAAAAAAAAAAGTTTTTTTTTTTTGTATAAACTATAAACCTTAGCTTCTGAAGCAGGCAAGTTGGTTGCACTTGCGGATTTCACTAACCGAGAAGATCCCACACCTCTATCCACAAAAACTCCTTCTTCACTATTTTCCTTTTCTAATGGTGAAAATGTTCCCACAGATTTTGACTCAACCATACCATGAGCTTTAGTAGCAATTTCCCTTTCCTATTCAAATCCCATAATCACTTTGTAAGATTTCAGATTCAGATCTTTATAGGATCCATATATGACCAAAAAAGTAACCTTTATGGTTGTTTGTGGATCATTAGAAACACCCACATCACCTTTAGTAGACTCCTTGATATGCTTCAAAGATCTTGGATTCTCTGTCAAATTTGCAGCATATACCACAGGAGTCGATGGAGTTGGGACTACATATTGTTCAAGATCAAGATCCAAACTTGATGACATGCCATTCTGAGTAGTAGTAGTATTAGTAGAAGATAATATAAGGGTATGTAAGTAATTTTACTCTTAACTGAAAGCTGTAGACATTCATACCTCACTATCTTCGGGCAATGCATTTATACTAACATCAGGAATCCCACGCACAGTTGAGGGTTCAAGATTTTCTTGATAAGCTCTCCAACTAGCAGCAAGATCAAAGGGTGAAACCCTATCTGCTTTAATACAAACCCTGTACTCAAGAACCTCATCAGTGGTTAGCCTAAATAGAGCCAACCTTGTAACCCCTTGCAAGGTCCCACCCATGAATTGCCTGTTTGGACCTTCTTCTACTATGCATAGTTCGTTGGTATCCTTTGACTTCAATAAGAACTTAAAGTCCAATGTATCTAAACACATAACAAAGGTCAATGTGGTTATGTATGTTTGCTCCTCAAAGCAGAAATCATAATAGCGATAGAGATTGGGAAAGTGTTGGGTCTTTTTGTGAAACAGGGGGTATCAAGTAACAAGTATCAATCAATCAGTCAGTTAGGAAACTTAAATTCATCAGTTTAAACATGAAAATTAAGAAATCGAATTGGGGTTCTGATTGGAAAGTAACAAACATAAACAAAAAAAAAGCAGGGAATCAACGAGTACCATGATTGGGAGAAGCAACGAAGCTTAATTGCCACATTGAGGATGACTCTCGCTCCATCGGAAGCTAATACAATGAAAATTAACGAAGTGAAAAACATGGGTATTGAAGTAGATGATGCGTAGTTCAAGTTGAAGCTAAATACAAGTCAAACGAGTGATAACAATCATTGAGAAAACCCGTTTTGAAGATGGAGTTGAGTAGTGTTAGAAATGGATAAACTTACAGCTTTGGAGGGGTCCCATGAGCCGACGAGAGGAGCAGAACCGAAGACGTGAGGAACAAGGTCTCCTTTGGGACCGTAACTCTCCATCTTGAGAGATACATAGAGTTGACCACCGGCATGATCGTCGCTGGTATCAAGGTTAATTGATGAACCAGTTCCCATTGTGATTCACTTGGTACTGACTACTGATTATCAATCTTGAATTAGTGATTTTAAGGGGACCCAGATGGGTTATACTCAATTTAAGCAGTAAAAATTAGGTATAACATATGTAGAGACTGAATTTGTGGTTTGATAGAAAAGAGGGAGCAGGGGATAGTCGAGCAGTGTGGGTGTTTTGGAAGAAGGGTGGTAGTGGTGGGGTCTGGTGATTCCAGATGGCGTGCGTTTTGCCGTTTTCCTTGGGCCTTCGCATCATAAATTCGCCATATCTACTTTCCCGAGACGATAGATTATAGATAGATAAAACTTTTACCTATCTTGAAATCGGAAGAAATTTGAAGTTTAGTCCCTAAGTTTAAAAAGCATCACAGATGGTCTCTATGGTTTCAAAATTTTTGATGTTTGGTCCTTATCGTTCACTCCGTCAAGTTTTATCAGTTAGCTAAAGGGCATTTATGTCATTTCACTACATTAAAGATGAGGTTTTCTCTAATTTAAAAAAAATGAAAAAATGAAATTTAATATACAAAGGTCTCTCTCTCTCTCTCTCTCTCTCTCTCTCTCTCTCTCTCTCTCTCTCTCTCTCTCTCTCTCTCTCTCTCTCTCTCTCTCTCTCTCTCTCTCTCTCTCTCTCTCTAATGATTTTGTGTGTGTTCTTCAACCTAAGAATCAAAGATCTGAGGAAATTTTTGCAAACATATATCTTCATGTCTGAGTTCATGTTCGTGATTTCTAGGAAACCTACCATTCCAAAAATCAAAAATTGAAACCCAATTTCAAAAAGATATACATTTCCATAAATAATAACAAAAAAAACAAAAATCAAATGTGTGTTCTTCAGGAAACGATTTTTTTGTTTGTCCTTCAACCCAGGAATCGAATATCCAAAGTGTTCATCTCTGAGTTCATGTTCTTGATTTTTAAGAAATCCATCATTACAAAAATCAAAACCCAAATTCAAAAAACCATTTCATAAATCGATTAAGAAACCCCCACCATCGAACAACCCTAGATTTCAAGAACTTAGACATGTGTGTAATATCGTTACAGATCATGCTCAAGAAACCCAAATGAAGATGAACAGACATGAACAAACAGGTTAGGATGAACACACATGTATCTTCGAATCTGGAAACATTATAAATGTCGATCTAGTGTACTCTTATTTATCTTTTTTCCTGGAACATCACAACCAGACATCACCATCATTGACATCACCAACACAACCTGTGATCGCCATAATCGTGATCTCCATAATTGGGTGAGATAACAAGGGTCGGTCTTCATTTGCTCACTCCATCCAATCTATCGATATCCACATACCATATTTATGTGGCAAGATTCAAGCTTTTTAGCCCGATGCAATAGTTTTCATCTGAGTTTTTTTGTTCCAATCATGAAATTGAACCAAAGAGGATGTTCTTTAATTTTGAGAATCGAAGCCCTAAAGACTTTCAAGAAAACAATCACCATAAAACACTAGCCCTAAATTATTTTTTCTTCCATTGTTCTCGTCTTCAAGGAACACATTTTCTTATTTCAAATGGATTCCACTTGATTCTTCTAACAAATGAATTCAACTCTTCTTGATGTCAGTGGCGTTTGGAGTGTAGATTCCAAATCGGAGTTTGTTTAGTTCGAATTTGAACTGATTTGCTTGGATTTGAACACAATTTTAGGTTTTGAAGCTTAGAATCATAACGGAAGTTCATTTAGTTGAAAGATGAAACTGATTTTGATTGAATTTCGGCTCGGAGTCACGAAAGCAGGTTAGACGTTAGAGTCGAGATTGAAGGTTGTTTTGATCAGAATTAGATAATTTCACTTCAAGTTTGCTTCTGTTTCACAAAATTGGGTTTCCAAAATGTAGAATTAGGTCCCTCTCCCTTCAAACACCATCATCTATGTTGACTATAACACCCCCACCACTACAAGTAAAAGTCATTGCCTTTGTCTTCTTCTATGTCGATTGGTACCTTAGTGTAGATTCAATTTCAATGTTCATGAAAGACGATTGGGACATCAGATGATTTGGAGGTGGCATGACAAACGTTTGCTCTTGAAAGGATGACTTCGAGATCGTGGATATGAAACATAGGGAGAAAGAAAGAAAGAGAGAGGGAGATAGAGAGAGAGAGAGAGGTGAGACCCTTTATATATCAAATAATTATATTTCATTTTATCTTTTTTTTAAATAACAAAAAACTTCATAAATGGTCACTGTGTTGTGAAATGACGGAAAGGTCCTTCTATTAACTGCCAAAAGATGACGATGTCAGCTAAAAGGACTATTTGTTAAAAGTTTTGAAACTACAGGGACCATCTGTGAGGTTTTTTGAACTCAGGGACTAAACTTCAGATTTTATGAAACCACATGGACCATTTATGAAGTTTTGTCTTATCATACTATATTATAAAGGAAACATTTTTCCTTTCACCACATTCATTTGAAACTCTCATGCATTTTTCCTTTCACCGCATTTATTTGAAACTCCCATGACTTTTCAATTTCTTTCTAATAATAATTATAAGTTGGTTAATAAGGTTAAATAAATATCAAACCTAAAGTGTAATCATATATAAACTAAATTTCAATATTAAAATAATATTTTTACTTCTACTTATAAAGTTATGTTTTTTAACTTTTAACATATTATACTTAATTTATTAGTTTTAATATATTGTTGGATGTAAACCATCATCATTTTAAAGATACAATTTTGGAACAATTTGTATAAAATACTTAAATTATTAATTTAAATATAACATTACATGGTCAACTTAAATATAAATTTTAGTTTAACTTAAAGAACCTAGAAAATATTTTGTAAATAGTTAAAAGTGATAATTTGTAGTGTCTTTCTAATAATGATTATAAGTTGGTTAATAAGGTTAAATAAATATCAAACCTAAAGTGTAATCATAAATAAATTAAATTTCAATTTTAAAATAATATCTTTACTTCTACTTATAAAGTTATGTCTTTAACTTTTAACATATTATACTTAACTTATTAGATTTAAATTTTTGTTGTATATAAACCATTACCAGTTTAAAGCTACAACTTTTGAACAGTTTGAAAAAAATAATTAAATTGTTAATTTAAATATAACATTACATTGTCATCTTAAATATAAATTTCAGTTCCACTTAAAAAACCAAAGAATATTTTATAAATAGTTAAAAGTGATAAATGCAAAAACTAAATTGTAATCTCTATTTAATTAAAATATTTCCTAAAGATATTTTTATAACCGTTAAAAGGTTTCAAATAAGTAACTTAAAATAACTTACAATAATAATAGTTAAAAACAACTCTATATAAATGATTATATTGTTAACTTTAAAATAAAAAAACAATGTTTGATGTTTTACATAATTATAATAATAGAAATTAAAACATTAAGCAAATAAATTTTAAAAAATTAATTAACACTAACTTCAACTATAAATAACATTAAACCATATATTATATTTTATTTTATTCATGTGTAACTCGCGGGTAAAAGTCATTCAAACGATTGAGATTATACAGTTATAATAGATGTATATATTATCATATAATTCAAAATAATCAATATATTATATCAATTTAGTATATGAATTATTATTTCAAATTTAACAACAACGTTATTGTTATATTTAAAAAAACATATATTTGTAAAGACTTCAACTATATAGGTGTTTCCGCGCAACGCGCGAGTAGTCGCCTAGTAGATATATAAGAGAGACCATCGACAAAAAAAACTGAAAAATAAGAATATTTATAGAAAAGCTAGATTCGGACAATCGGCAAAAAAAAAAGTCCTTATAGAATGATTTTCTTTTTAGTTGTACATTGTTTTTTTGTGGTTCAAAATCTATACTTTATTTAAACTATGTCGACCATTGAATCTGTATTAACTGAAAAACCGAACTAAAATCAAATTAATCGATATAATCAAAACATTTTAACCGGTTCATTATTAAAAGAGATGGTGCGGTTTTTAATTTTGGTTAACCGAATAGATATGATTCGGTTATTGTTTCCATCTAAAACCTAACCACTACAAAAAGAAATGAACCAACAGTATTAATAAAAAAATAAAATAATATAATAATAATAATAATATATGATATGTAATTATATTAGGAATCAAAATTTTGAAAGGTAATTATTTAGAATCGAAAGATATATATATGCAATCTTCCTATCTCTGGTAACTATACTTCACACAATTTCATCCCGTAAATTCGTAAGCTTATCCAATCTTTATTTTGGTTTTCTATTGACTATAACTCCCACTACCATCTAGCTTTGCATTCTTTAGGATAGAAACTCATTGAGAACAAAAATGACGAATACTTAAAGAAAAATTGAAAACTTGCCGATTTATATTCACATTGCGTTTTTAACCGAAATAAAATTAAAAAATGTAGCTTTGATACATTGATGGGGGTTCAATTGAGATGCTAAAAAGGTAAAATAATAATAATAATAATAATAATAATAAAATAAATAAATAAATAAAATTGACAATTATAATGCTTAACATATAACAACGAACTATTTGTTTTTTTTCTTTTTATAGCAACATACTTTCTAATTGACAATTATAATGCTTAACATATAACAACGAAGTATCTGTTTTTTTCTTTTTATAGCAACATACTTTCTAATTTTTACTTTTTTATTGTAATGTATTTTTTATATTTCATATTTTATAGCATTACACTTTCTAGTTTTATGTGATTGTCGATTGTTATGGATAATCATTATTAACCGATAACCAAAATCATTAACTAACTAAAAACGTTAACCGGAACCAATACTAACCAATAACCAATTGTTACAAAAATACATTAACCGATAGTAATGGTCATGGTTCTGTTTTGACGTATAATAAAGCCATACTGGCCCATAGGGATGAGCAGCGAAAGTGGGTACCTGTTTTTGGAACCGGAACCACCTCGGAATTGCCAGTTCTAGAACCGGAACTGCCTTAAGCGGTTCCGGTTCCTAAAGTTTCGGAACCACCTTCAGCGGTTCCGGTTCCAATTCTTATTTTTACAAAACTGATATCCGTTAGATACCCGCCAGTTCCGGTTCCAATACCGGGTACCCGGAACCAGTACCGACGGGTACCCACCTTTTTCTAAAAAATATATATATTAAATTTTTATATTTTGGTAATTTTGTTCTAAAAAAATAGGGAAAAAGGTTATACCTGATTTGCTTAGACCTAAGCGTTTTTAGGGTTTTTGATATTCATTCTTACAAAAAAAACGCTGACACCATAC